TGTGTGTGTGTGTGTGTGTGGCCAGCTCAGCCCACCAGGGGGCGGGGCTGGCTGGCATGTGGTGCTGGGGATTGAACCATGGTCACTGTGCTTTTGCTTAGCTTAGCTTGTTCTAAGTAGGTGCTTTAGACTACTGAGCCATCTCACCAGCCCACTTTTTATTTTTTGAGATGGAATCTTGCTAAAGCGCTACGTGGTACACGCTGAGCTTGAATTCACAGTCCTCCCTGTCGCCCAGCGTGCTGGGATTGCCAGTGTGTACCTGAGATAAGTTGAAGAAAATATATCAAGCTATAAGCAATAGCACAATTAAGTGTCATTTTGCCTTCAAATTTATTTATATCTTGAAGTTTTTCATATTGAGCATGTATTCATTTTCTAACAGAAATAAATACATTTTCTAAAAACATTAAAAGCAAGATTTGGAGATAAACCTAGGGTTAATTTTTTTTAAATCAATATGAAATTAAACATTCTTTTTCCCCCCAGTACTTGGCATATAACTCAGCAGGCAAGCCCTCTCCCACAGATAGACCCAGCCCTTTTCATTTTTCGAACTTTATTTTGACTCCGCATGTTGCTAAATTGCCCCAGCTGACCTCAAACTTTCGATGCTTCGGTGCCAGCCTATGAGTAACTACGATTGCAAGCCTGTGCCATCACCCCTGGCTGTATATTTATTCTTGAAAATCGTATTTGTTTTTAGTTTTAATACGGTGATTTTGTTTCCAAAAGCAGAGGTGGCCATCGGCTCTGTGAGGTCGACCCTGGCTGGGTGAAAAAAACCGTTTTTGTAGGGAGTTTGCAAAAGCACCAGAGCAGGTGCTCAGTAGACGTATAGTACTCCAAAACAGGCAGCTCTTTTAGCTGGGGCTGTAGCTTAGTGATACAGTGCTTGTCTAGCAGGTGCAAGGTCCTGTGTTCAATCCTCAGCACCTCAAGAAAAAAAGGAAAAATATATAACCAGCTGTCTTTACCTGAAAATAAGACCTAGTGGAAAACAATCAGCCATGCCAACTAGAGCTGAAAAATGCCAGCCCATCAGCCAATTCCTGCCTCGCCTGCCACCACTGTCCTATTACTCAGTGGCTCCTCTTTAAGGCAGGTGGGGTAGGGATAGCCTTATGGGGATGGCATATTTTTTTTTTTTTTTGGCGGTACTGGGGACTGAACTCAGAGCCTTGCACTTGCCAGGAAGGGACTTATTCTACTGAGCTATCTCCCTGGCCCTAAAGGGGATGGCATTTTTGAGGTCTAGTTTTCAAGGTTCATCACTTTCTGGCTAGGTTTTACTCTGGGGGAAGGGGTTGTTTTAAGAGGCCTTGCCTCTTTACTGGCTCTCTGCCAGCCTCTGTGTCCCAGTCCCAGGGGCTCGGGCTTGGTGCCTCCTCCCTGGGCACCGGACCCCGGACCTGGAGGGTGACCTGCCTGGCCTCCCGCAGGTGGCTGCTGAGTACTTCAAGAACACCACACTGCTGCTGGTGGGCGTCATCTGCGTGGCGGCGGCTGTGGAGAAGTGGAACCTGCACAAGCGCATTGCTCTGCGCATGGTCCTGATGGCTGGAGCCAAGCCGGGCATGTGAGTGGCACGAGGGCCTTCTCTGCAGCCAAGGTGTAGCCGACCGCCAGGCGTCACTTTAGCTGGACGCGCTGTGGTGGGCATGGGATAGTTGTTGCCTCCTGTCCAGGGGCGAGTCTGTCAAGTGAGCTGCTGATGCCTGCGTACCCCGCCTGCTCCCCCAGCCATCACCTGGCCCCAACCCCAGCTCCCCGGCAAGTGACAGCAAAGCTTTAGAGCTTTCAGTGGTACAAGAAGCCCGCTGCAGCACAGGCCGCAGGTTCGCCACCACTGTCCCAGGCACACCGCGTTGGTGCTCTGTGGTTCTTAAAAACCTGTGTGCTTATGGCTTCATCCCTTTATGACGCAGCAAGATGCCACACATGCAAGACAGACAAACTCACATCCCCATCAGGCTGCACAAAATGCCACCAGGACTGAGTCCTTTCCAACAAGACACATAACAAAGGCACAGTGGCCAAACTACAAAGTCACCTAAAATAATAAACATGGTGGGCTTTTCTCTGCAGGGCTGACTCTTTGGCCTTCGCACATTATTTGCTTATTTATCTATTTTTTAAAATGTATTTAGTACAGGGTCCACAGGGTCTCACTACACAGATCTGACTCAGTGATCCTGCTGTTTTCAGCCTCCCAAGCGCTGGGATTACAGGCGCACACCACCAGGCCAAGTCTCAGTCACCATCTCGGTGTGCCCCAGGGGCGGGGCTGGCATAGCTCGTGGTGCCAGGGATTGAACCCCAGCCCCTGCACTCTGCCTAAGCAGGTGCTTTAGTCCGTTGAGCTATCTGGCTGGCCCTATTTATTTATCTTTGAGGTAGCTTCTCTCTTTTTCCTTTCTTTCTTTTTTTTTTAATGTATTTGGTACAGGGTCTCACTGTGGAGCTCAGACTTGTAGTGATCCTCCTGTTTTCAGCCTCCCCAGCACTGGGCCAGCGAGACCTGGAGTGTCTGTGCTTGCCTAATGAGATAGGTTCCTGCTAAGCCAGTAAATTGGCCCTGCTGGACTCAAACTCGTGATCTTCCTGCCTCAGCCTCCCAGAGTATTGGGATCACAAGTGCAGTGGAGCAGGGATGATCATCTTTATTTTGGCTAATTTTATAAAAACTAGGCCCACGTGCATCTAAGCACACAGTGCACAGTATTTCAAAGTCAAGGGGAAGGAATCTGAAGGTTACCTCTGCCCATGTTTTCTTCCAAGCATGGACTCTTCTGGATCACCCTGCTCAAGTGCACACAAATGGCGGTGGGGGCACTTCTGTGACCTGGGGACAGGGCGTTCAGCCTGTTCACAGTAGGATGAGCAGAGGGAGGCAGCAGAATGTGCGGCCCTGATATGAATCTCTTTGCCAACGCCTGTGGTGTCTGGCTGCAAAGCACGGAACGTACTGGTGCTTGGGTACCTGCTGACAAACAGTTCTCTCATATGCAAGAGACGCCATCACCGAGCTCCACCTGAGGGCCAGAGAGAGAGGAGTCGGCAAGCCCACAGCCTATGGCCCTTCTAGCAAAGCTGCTCTTTGCTGAAGGAAGAGCTTTCCCGGCTCCATAGCTTGTGCAGTTCAGCTCACTCACTGGACACAGACTGAATTCATGCTTGTGAGTTGCCAGGCGCTGAGTAGACGCATGCCAGCCACAGTTCTTTGGCTCAGCACCGTCAGGTGGGCAGGAGACTGCGGAGGTCCCCATGGGCTCCGGGAGGTGCACCTTCTGCAGTGCCGCCCTGGCCCCTGCCTTGCAGGCTGCTGCTCTGCTTCATGTGCTGCACCACCATGCTGTCCATGTGGCTGTCCAACACTTCCACCACCGCCATGGTGATGCCCATCGTGGAGGCCGTGCTGCAGGAGCTGGTCAGTGTCGAGGAGGAGCAGCTCGTGGCGGGCAACTCCAGCACCGAAGAAGCTGAGCCCATCAGTACAGTACAGTTTACAATTTGCTTCTCCCCGGGTCCCCGGCTGGTCTCCCCTGTGACACTGCCCAGCTTGGTGCCTGGTCCCACAACACTTGCCCTGCCCTCACTCCTGTCTTGCCCGTGCCAGCCCCATAACCTGCAGCTGCTTGGCCCCACTCCCCACTCTTGCCCATTCTCCTTCACTGATGGACGCCCCCAACTGCTCCTGGCCCCCAGATGTCCACAGGCTACCACAAAGCTCTAGGTTCGCCTGGGTCTACGAGCACCTCTCTTCCAGGGCAGAGGGAAGGGGGCTCATCCCCGAGCCCAGAGCCCCTGGACTGCTCTCCCACCCACATGCCTGCTCCAGCGCCACATCTCACTTTCTGCTTTTCTTTGCCGCTGTAGATCTTGATGTCAGCAACAGCCAACCTCCTCTGGAGCTCATCTTTGTAAATGAAGAGTAAGTACAACTGTCCCTTTTCTGAGAGCCTCCCAGGGCCCACTGGGGAGATCAGGAAAGATGGGACCATACACAACCCTGCAGATGCATGGACCAGGCTCAATCCAGTGTTGCCACTATTCTCAGGAGTCACTTGCCAAGATCTCCAGACAATTCCCTTAACTCCAGAACACTGTAGTGACAAAGAAATAGAAGGACTAACACCCATCTGGGTGAATACAGGAACCCTCTATATCGCTTCCAAGCATAATTCCATCAAAATTGCTGGCTTTCTTAGGAGAATAATTTATTAATGGAAAAGCACTCACATGATAGATGTCACTAGAGGTTCTTGGAGAATCATAAAACATTTTCTAAATATTAGCTATAGGCCACCAGATCTGGTCTTGTTATAATGGCACAGAAAAATCAGGTGACAGGCAGGGGACTGGGAACAGTGTATGACACAGGGAGATGATGGTACACAGGAGAAGCTGAGAAAGGAATGTACATCACAGGCATTCAGATGAGGTGGATCTATAAATAGCTGATCTCTTTTGAAGATTGTATATCAAATATGGTCTTCAGGTACTCTATGAGAAATATTACACAGTTCAGGGCTGGGCTTATAATGGAGCTGGCCTTTGCAATTTGTCTTTTTCATAAATAATGGGCATTCCACAAGGACTGAATGAAATTTGCACATGCAAGGTGACAGGTGCAGAAAAAAGCCACTGGGAAATGGCTTTATGTTTCTCCTAGCGCTGTCTTAAGGCTGCACAGCTTGACTGGCTCCCTTCACATCAGCGGCCCCCTGCTCTCATGCTCCCAAGTCCAGACACACAGCAGAACCCCCACCTTTCATCCACAGCTTCTGAGCCTGTGCCCATCCCACCTCCTCTCAGAGGTGACAACAAAGTGGGCAGGGTGGGAGGTGACCTCGCAATCTTCACCTACCCTTCCCCAGTCACCACGCTGCTTTGGACTTCTCCAGGGTTGGGACCAAGGCTGGTGGGTACACACAGTATCAGGGATGGAGCTCCTACAGCCTGGGGTTGGGGTCCTCTGAGTTTCAGACGCCATGTCTTTCCTTCGGGGCACCAACATCAGGGTCTGTGGGGTGTCCCCTCCACAAGGACAGCTTGTGCTCCTTGGTGACCATCCATGCCCTCATGGCACTATGTGTCTTATTGGCTGCCTCTCCCCTGACCCTTGTTTCCGGGCTGGCTCTGCCTCCTATGCAGGGCCTTCTGCACGTGGCTCTAGCCCAATTCCTTCCTGTGTCCCCACCATGCAAAGCTCAGGCTGCTGCTGCACTGTGTGTCTCTTCCCCTTGCCTTTGCTCTTTCCATGTGAAAGTAGCGACCTGTGCTCCTGGAGCAGGCCCAGCACCTCGTGCTCAATAAGCAGGGCTGCTTGGGGTTCTTCTCACATTCAGCAGCTCCTTGTAGGCTGAGGACATCCTGACTGCTCTGTGCAGCAGGTTTGGGCAGAAGGGAAGGAAACATGACATCTTCTCAAAACAACACAACACACCACTCCACCTGTCACCTCCTGTCCTCCCCTGGGAAGCCACATCCTGCATGTATATCCAGCACTCTCCTCTGTCCTCATAGTGGATGGGCTGGTGGTGCCCACTGTCCTCACAACTAAGACATTGAAAACATCTACTGGATGCTCAGGGAGCTGGTAATTCCAACAGGCTTTATCTTCCTCTGTCTTCAAGGTGAAAGTTGGGTTTCCGGGTGTGGGAGTGACTCATATGTGCAGTTAGCTGTGCCTTAGAGGTGTAGCTGCTGACCAGAATCTTCCCACATCTTCTCATTCTGTCTCGCTTTTCCCTGGGTACAGGCCAGGCCCTTCCCCCTCTGTCCCCTCAGATAAGCACATCGCAAGTGTCATTCACTAGACAATGAGGATGAAGTCAGGACCCTCCAGTGAGACCAAATGGCACCTGTCTGGTCACCGCTAACATCCTAGTGCTGATAAGATGCAGATGGAGGTAGTGACGCCTGCAGCACAGATCTCTTGTGGAGACAGATGATATCATAAGGTATAAAGTCTGTCTTTAAGGGCTCAACACTAAATAAGCACTGCCTGTTCAGTGCTAGGAGTGTGACTACTGCTTCAAAGGAAGCCAGCTGGCCCTACCTCGGGAGGAAGCAAGCCTCATAGCTCCATGAATCCTTATCGCCCTGAAAAGGTCAGGAAGATTAGGATGAGATGGTCCTCTTTGTAGCCCAGAAACTGGATCCAATAGCTTAAGTCCCTCACAGTGAACTCTACGCTTGAGGATGAGAGCTGTCCTCTCAGGAAATCTGGCCTGCCCGCTACAGCTTCCCTGTCTCCTTTGCTTCATTCTAGCATGTCCACGGCAGACTTCGCTTCTCTGATGCACAAGGTATGGTCTCCAGTGTTTCTTGGGCTTTGAGAATACCTGAATGTCCCTTGAGCCAACTCAGGGCCCAAGGTGCCTGGCAGCTTGTCCTACACCTCGGCAGCCCCTGTGGATGTAAAGGGGGAGAAGGTTCACACAGCTCAAGCCTGACACGAGCCTGGTCCTTCTGAACCCCAGCCCTGGGGACTGGTTTTAGCCACATAAAATACAAGTTAATCTTTTTTATGGAGACCCAAGAGTTGGCCATCCAGATTTCAAGAGCCGCTGATTCAAATTTAGGCTTTGTGGGTGCTTGTGGTTAGCTCAGTTGTTTAAAGCATCTGCTTGGGCAAACTCAGGTGCCAGGGACCACAGTTCGATTCCCAGCTCCGCATGCCACACCAAACCTGCACTAAAGGCAGCCTGAGCCACCCCCCCACCCCCCCCCCCAAAAAAAAAAAAGAATCCAAACTTAGGCTTCTTGTCAGTGGATTCCTTCATAGAGTTTACCACCAAAAGGGACGTATTTGCGGGGAGAGCAAGGTTCAACCATATGCTGCTGCTCAAATCAAACTCCACTCTCCAAAGCCAGTTTTAGGCATCACTGTGAGAGGTGTAAATGGCCAACAAAACTTTAGACTACAGTATTGGATTTAAAACACTTTTTTTTTCCCTTTTGTGACAGAGTCACACTATGCACCTCAGGCTGGCCTTAAGCTCACGTTGTAGCCCAGGCTGGTCTTAAACTTGCAATTGTCCTCCTGCCTCAGCCTCCAGAGTGCTAGGAGTACAGGGATGCGCCACCACACCCTAGTAAAAAATTTCTCCATGTGATTAAAAAAAAAAAAAAAAAAAGTCTTTTATACTAGTGATGTCCTGGAAAGTCAGGCTCTTCTAGAAGAACAAAGTCATGTTTGCCGGCTTTTGAGAGTCTCCTGGCCTGGGTGCTTAACACCAGTGGACAGAAGCTGTACAGAGGACACAGGCCCGGGGTGTTCTCACTTCCCACCCTCTGTGGCTTCTGGTCTCTGAGTCCCCAGGTGCGGGGCGTGGGGTGGCATTGGGAGGGTCAGGAGATGCTTCCCCAGACACCTGGGTCACCATATCCTCTCCCTGATAGTGTAAAATCTGTCCCAACAGAACCTGAACGGGGTACCCATGATCACCAGGCCCATCAGGACAGCAAACGGGCATCACAGCAAGAAGCAACAGCCACTGCAGGTAACAGAATCCCACCTTCTGGCCCTGTTTCCTACATCACGTGCTTGGTGCTTCATAAGGGCACTGCGTCTGACGCTGCGATGGCATCAGGCTGGCGAACTGCCATCAGGCACTCTTTGCTCACAACCACTCCTGCTCTGCACTTAACGTGGTGACCAAGCACCAAGCTTGCTCAGCTGCAGCAAGACGCTCTACTGCCTGGGCCTTGGCTCCTTCCACTACAAATGTGGAGGCTGTGCTAGAGCAGAGGTGCTCAAGGGTGTCTCAGTTACTCTTCTCTCCTTGCTGGGACAAATACCCAACACCCAAAATGAAGGAAGGAAAGGCTTATTTAGCTCACAGTTACTGCAGGTTTCAGTCCATACTCAGCTGAATCCAAGGCAGAGAGGCACATGGCAAAGAGTAACTTTTCATGGCAGTGGCAAAGAGCAAGAGCAAAGGGAGGGGCCAGGGAGAGAGCTCAGTAGAATAAGAGCTTGTCTGGCAAGCACAAGGGCCTGAGTTCAATACCTGGTTCCCCAAAAAGAAAAGAGCAAAGGGAGTGGCAGCAGCTCAGGTGGCTAGCTAGCCCCTCTACCTTCCTAACATTGTAATGCAAATTAAAATAATCAATCATAAACTCCAGAAGCCATCTCATGACTGCATGAGGCTTTGGGGGTACACCTATACACAAACGATAACATTCTACCCCTGCACCTCCAAAGACTCATGCACATCCCTTTATGCAAAGGCATTTTAGTCCATCTCCAAGAATTGCCAAAGTCGCAACAGTTTCAGCATTGCTGAAAAGTCCAAGTCCCAAATCTCCTCCAAGATCCAAGGCAAACTCCTAGCAGTGAGCCCCTGTACAAACAAAAAGTTAAACACTTCCAACATTCCAAGGCACAAGATAAACATTACCATTTCAAAAGGTACATATAGCAGGATACTGAGAATTGGAACCAAAACAAGTCCAAACTCCAGCAAGACAAACATTAAGTCTTGTAGTTCCATGTGGAACACCTGAAGTAATCTGTGGCAAACTGTGGGCTCCATGTGGCTCCGCCCCTGTGGCACTCTTGGTGGTAGCTCCCACGGCTTCTCTCTTAGGCCAGCTTTGCTCCCTCTTTGCGGTTTCCCTTAGATGATTCATATTCCAGGCTTTTCCAAATTTCTGGGGTTTCCACTACATGTTAAGCTTCTCACTCTGCTTCACACACTGCCCTGTCAGGGGCACACTGCCTGGCCTCCCAGGTCTTCTGAAATCAAAGTGAAAGCTGTCTTAACTTCAGAACTCTTGCATTCTGTGAGCACCTAACACCAATGCCACGTGGATGATGCTACGGTCTGTTGCCAGCTGGAGCAGTAGCTGGGCTTTCTTCTATGCTGGCTGTAGGGATCAAGTGCCTGGATCGCTGAGCACTCTGAACCTGATTCTGAGGAACAAATTTTCTATGGCAGCCATAGAAAATTCTGGAACCTGGTGTGGCTGTCACCACCATTCTGAACATGGCGCTCTGGCTTTCCCTTAAGGCAAAGTCCTTCACCCTTGTGATTCTGAGGCTGCAAAGTAGGGGAGACCTGCTGCCTCCTGTGATGCCCTCAGGGCATCCTTTCCATTCTCTTGTTCCTTCTCAGCAATGGAGATCTTCTCAGCTTTATCTTTGCATTCCACAGCTTTATTGGAGCTTCCTTTCTGGCCAAACTCAGAACATTTTAAATCATCCTGCTAGGCTCTTTGCTCTTGACTCTCAACATAAATCTGACTAAAAGCCCCCAACAACAGCCATGCCACTGCCCCAGTATGGACTGCCTTGAGATTTCCTTTGTCAGATTAATCATTCTGCCATGCTTAATCTCAGTTTCAGCCAAAGTCTCTGGACACAAGCAAAATTCAGACAAACTTCCTGCCAAGCCGTAACACAAATCTTGCGGAGTCCAACACCCAATGCAGTCCTTCTTCCCAGCAGAAACCTCCGTACATGTCCTGCCAAAACGAGCACACCAGCAGAGAGCTCTGCAGCCCGGTATTCACAGGCAGGATTTCTATCAGCATTTTTTTTTTTCTTTTCTTCCTTTTTTTTTTGGTGGTACCAGGGATCAAACTCAGGACCTTGTACTTGCCAGGCAAGCACTTATCCCCCTGAGCTATCATCCCAGCCCCCCATTATGTTCTTTTGACCTCTAACCCCAATCTCCTATACAGAACAGATGAAGCTTTTCCAGTACTTCTCTTTCCTATTTCTTCCCTTAAGTCATTCCCAGAAGCTCATGATTCACATGGTCATGTAGTCACAGCAGTGAACCCACTTCTCTGGTACCAAATTCTGTCATGGTTACTTTTCTCTTGTTGCTGGGACAAATACCAGACACCCAAAACGAAGGAAGGTAAGGTTTATTTTGTTCATAGTTACTGGAGGTTTCAGTCCAGACTCAGCTAGCTCCGAGGCAGAGTGTAGCACAAGGCAGACGGCAGCTGTTCTTGATGGTGGCAAAGAGCAAGAGCAAAGGGAGTGGCTGCAGCTCAGGCAGCTAGCTGACCTCTCTCCCCTCCTTACACTGTACTGCACATTACCTGCCCCAGGGCAGGTGCAGCACCCACACTCACAATACTCAAGTCTCAAACTCCAGAAGCTGCCCATGACTGCAGGAGGCTTTGGGGGCACCTATACACAAACTATAACAAAGGGACACTGCAAATATTTTATCTTAGTATCCCAAGATGGACTGCACAGAAATATTGCTTTTCTGTACAAGCGAGGATTTTCCTGGTACTACACTGTGGCTGTAAATGAGGCAGAGAAATGAACTGAGGCCAAGAATGAGGGCCACATAAGAGGAACGTCTTGATTCAAATCCAGTCTCCCTGAGCATTCACCCCCTACCTGGCAGGTTTCCAGTTACAAAACAGATGCATGCCAATTCAATGCTCCATTTATGTATTTTACACTGGGGATCACAGGAAACCTCTGGATCCCTCCGTGGTATCTTCCAGTCAGATCACTTTGGCCCTCCTGCAACGCAGGACAAAGGTTAAGAGCAATGAGAAATGTAGCAGTTGGGTCTCTCTCTCCCTCCCTCCCTCCCTTCCTCCCTCCCTCCCCTGGGTTTTCTTAAGACCTAACCTGTTAACATGTGTGCCAGACTGTCTATGTCCTGTGAAGATCATGAGAGTAGACAGACCTGGGATGGGCAAGGGGCACTTGCTGCTTTAGTCCACACCTGAGCCCAGAGCTTGGCACCTCTGCGACATGGAAAGCCCACGGTCTGGTCCATGCAGGGCCTGAGAGGACCCTGGCAAGGCGGAAGCTGATATGCAGAATAGGTGGAAAAGGCAGAAGAAAGGCCACTTGGTAGTAAGAAGAGTGGGATGCGAGGGAAGAGAAAATCACACACTTCAACTTTCTTTCCAGGAAAGCTATGCTCTTTTGCTATCCAAGGATGGCCATTTCCTGCTTGTTCAAATGACAACAACCAGTTTTACTAGAATTCAAGTAAAAAACAACCATGTTGTCAGTATTAATAACTATACTGCCAAAAATTATAACAGTTTACCATTTGTTAAATACTACGACATGATCTAAGTGCTCTACATTTATTATTTGCTTACTTTTTAAAATGTATTTAGTACAGGGTCTCAATACACAGCTCAGACTTGTAGCAATCGTTTTCGCCACCCAAGTGCTGGGATTACAGACACGCATCACCACACCCAGTCTCACTCACCATCTCAGCACACCCCAGGGGCAGGGCCAGCATGGCACTGTGGGGATTGAACCCCAGTCCCTGTGCCTGCCTAAGCAGACACTTTAGTCTGCTGAGCTATGTGGCTGGCCTCTTCACAATATGGCAAAGCAAATATGGTTTTCCCCACTTTACAGAAGCAGAAACCACATCTCAGGGCACTGCCTCATGGGTATATAGCATAAATGGGGATTTATCTGAGACCAAGCTTAAAACCTTCCCTTTGCCCCATGGGACCTCCTATCTCTTGGGCTCTGTGTGCTGGACATCCCAAGCTGTGCTGTGTCCTTTTATAGGAAAAGCCACTAGTCCTAACCCGAGGCTCCAAGAACCAGGAGCTGAACAGAAAATACCAATCACAGCATGACCAGATGGTCTGCAAGTGTCTCTCCCTGAGCATATCCTACGCTGCGACCATTGGCGGCCTGACCACCATCATCGGCACCTCCACCAGCCTCATTTTCCTGGAACATTTCAACAAGTAAGTCATTCACTCAGGGGTAAGGCAACCACCCAGAGGGCATCAGGACCTGGGTCAGGGGTGAGGGCACAGCAGCAGAGGAGGCGGCTGTGTGGTCTCTATCCAAGGGGCAAAGACAAGGGAGTCTTTATAGCTGAGTTTGACCATGAAGTCCCAGCTTCTGCTAGGAACACTCACCTGTCTAGAGAAGAAAATGCTCCCCACAGAGGTGGCGATTAAGTGCCACCTGAAGGGTGATCCAGGGTAAACCGGACGGAAGAAGGCTTCCCAGGCAGGACAGTGTGTAGGAGGCTCTGGGGCAAGGCAGCAGAGCCGGCCAAAAGGAGGCCAGAGGGGCAGGCAGCTGAAGGCCCAAGCACTCTGCAGGCCTGAGGAGCAGATCAGATGTCAGCCAGAAGGCAGGGAGCAGCCTTTACCGAATGTGACTCAGGGAGTGAGGTGAGCAGATTTAGAGTTTTTTTTTTTTTTTTTTCCCAGCAGTAACATTTATTTATTTTATGTATTTAGTTATGGGTCTACAGCGTCTCACTACACATATTGGACTTATAGTGATCCTCCTGTTTTCAGCCTTCCAAGAGCTGGAATTACAGGTGCGCATCACCATGCTCAGCTGCTGTCCCAGTGTGCACTGGAGGTAGGGCTGGCACAGCACACCAGGGATTGAACCCCAGTCCCTGCACCTGCCTAAGCAAGTGCTTTAGTCCACTGAGCTATCTGGCTGGCCCTCCAGCAGTAACATTTAAAAACAGGTAAATTTGTTTCAATGGTACATTGTATTTTGACAACATATACAAGGAACTTCAATATATAATCAACAAATATATAAAATATTACTGGTAAGAAGATTTAGAGTTTTAAAATCTCATTCTGGATACAAAATCAGAGAACAAGTTGGAAAGCAGAAAGCAAGAAGACAATGCCAGACACTGCCACCCAAGAGGTCCTGGATGACATCACCCTGTGATGACAGTGCCAGAGAGGCCAAGAAATGGTCACTCTGAGAGCTATTCAGAGATGACTTGACTAGTCTTGATAGGACTAGTAAGAGAGACCAGGCTAACTCTCTGGCTCCTAACTTTAACATCAGGGAAACAGAGGGAAAGATAAAGAATAAATTTTTTTTTGAAAAGGTGACATAGAGGTTGCGATGTCTAGACAGAAATATGGCTCTGAATCTCAAGAGTAGTTAGGCTGGAGGTGTGCATTTGGAGTCTGTGGCCTGCAGAAGAGTCGCAAAGACGGAACCCAGGGCCTCACGCAGGCTGGGCAAGCGCTCTACCATTGAGTTATAGCCTCGGTCTTTAGAAATTATTAATAGTCCTTGCAAAAGGGGCCTTTATTTCCATTTTGCCCCTTGGTAAAGGAAGCCAAGGGGTAGAAATCACTTGGAAAGTATAAATTGGAACAAAGGAATATTAACTAAGGTAGACTTCAAAAGAGAATGCACCAGCCCTCCTGTCAGACAGCAAAGAGGAAATCTGGGCACACCAGTGCCATTCTTCCCAAGGAAGGAAACGTTTTGGGAAAGAGGGGGTGACTACCATGCTGAACGCAGTAATGATGACACAAAATAAAGAGGGAAATGCAGCCCTGTGATGTGACAGGACAGTTACTGGTGACCCAGGCGAGAGGAATTCAGTCAGAAGGCGGGTATCAGTGAGCTGAGGGTAAAATGGAAATGAGGAAATGGAGAGTTGGCCGTCAGGGGAAGGAGGCTGTGGGGGATGATAAAGGGGGAGAAATGGAGGGACACAGAGAGATAGAGGAAAGGAGAGGGAAAAGGAGGGAGGAAGATGGGAGGGAGGTACAACTAAAGAAGGCGTTAGACCTGACAGTCCAGACTAAGCCCGAAGGACTCCTCACAGCATTGTACTCTCCCTGAGCTGTTGTTCTTGGCCTTGTGAAAAGACCACCCTGCAGTTCGTCCTTTTGGCTGTTTCCAACGCTTATTATAAATGAGCTGTTAAATTGCGTGCGTGTGTGTGTGTGTGTGTGTGTGTGTGCACGTACGTGTATGCGTGCTACACTTGGGAGTGTCCAAGTCTCATTTCTCTTACAGGCACAATTAATACCTACAAGCCTTATGAGACCATACAGCCCAAAGCTCTCCAGAATTGCCACCTTCTGTTCTCCATCTATACTCTTTCCTTCAGCAAGTTTATAATAAAAAATAAAAAATAAAAAAAACTAGCTTCCCCTCTCCATTTTCTGTAGTCTGAAAAGGCAGCAGCTTATCAGATAGGGTATATGTACTTTAAAGATAAACATAGCACAGTGCAAAGTATACACATTGGCAGCACTGATTTGAGTTGCTTCAAAGCCTGTTTAGCTGAGTGATTCTTGCCTGGCCTCTGGACTATCCTCACAGCTAATGAAGAGATGAGCTCTAGGTGATGTCCTAGCACACTGTCTTCACTGTCTCTCCTTAGCCTCACTGCATGCCCCCTAAGAAGCCCTCAGCTCTCACTTCCAAACCCCAACCGCCCCGAAGCCCCTCTCTTGCTAATGTGCTGCCCTGCTGCGTCCCTTCAGCCAGTACCCAGCTGCAGATGTGGTCAACTTCGGCACCTGGTTCCTCTTCAGCTTCCCCATATCCCTCATCATGCTGGTCATCAGCTGGTTCTGGATGCACTGGCTGTTCCTGGGCTGCAAGTGAGTACACACCCGGCCAGCCAGGCGCCCTCCTGGGGGCTCTGCTTCCGCAGGGCTGTTGAGGACAGCGTGGTGAGCCTGCGCAGGCGTGGGCTCTTCCTGTCGCCATGCTCTTCCCTGCACTCCACACTTCGCTCAACAGTGAAATACTGTTAATCAAAATAACAGGCTAGAGGGCCTGGATGATTTACAAAGTCTGCATTAGAGTGTTTAATGAAGTTTTGTTGCTCTCAAAGCATATGCAGTAATCTCAAGTACTCTTAGAAATTTGACTCCAAGAGAAAGTTGTGTTAGGTTTAATTTTATAGACACACTTTAAATTTGTACTTTATGTATGGAATATGTCCATATACCTCAAAATAACAAGCTAGATATATCCCTCGTGATGTTATTTCTGATCATAACCTGCTTAGGAAGATTACTCTTCTTCACAGTGTCCATTTGATCAAACACTAAAAGGGAAGATGTATATGACACAAACAGCCCACAAAATTCAGAACTCCGCTGGTCAAGGAACATCCTCTGGGCTGATGTTCTCTTTACTCAAAGACTGCTGTCACATCAGTGACGGCTGTATACTTGGGTGGCCCCAATACTGTGACATAAAACACCCACTTCGGCCCCATACAAGCCTTATCTCTAGACAAATGCCTGCACTACACACCTTCTCACTTCTGGGAGTGGGGCACACAGACCATACCTGCTCACATGCACACCACATCACACAGATGCTTTTAGTTATGAACAAGACAAGCGCGTAGAAGCAACTGCATGCGCAAGTACCCATGCCCAAGTCCCTAGATATCACCTCACTTAGATACCCCAGAGACGGGCACAGATGGGCAGACCCAAAAGGCTGGGGGAAGGAGGCTGGGAACTGGGCAGACAGAAGCAGAACAGGAAAGCAGGAGAGCAATGGAGGGACAGAGAGAGGAGGAGAAAGGTGTCCGCCATGACCGCCACGGTGGGTGGTTTAGTAGTGGCTTAATATCTGTTTTCTTCTGGACCTGAATCATGTTCTCCCCCACTCTGTGTTCATTCCCTTCTCAGCTTTAGAGAGACCTGTTCTCTGAGTAAGAAGAAGAAGACCAAGAGGGAAGAGCTGTCAGAGAGAAGGATCCAGGAGGAGTATGCGAAGTTGGGGGACATTAGGTAAAAGTCACCGTGGCTCTCTGCTCCTTCTTGGGGACAGAGGCACAGCTGTGAAGGGAACTGCAGGAGCAGCCATGTTCCTGACAGCCCTGGCCCCAGGAGAAGGGCCCGCAACTACAAGTCCAGGCACTGAGAAGAGCCTATGTGATGCCAAGCCCAAGCTGGCCCGATTTCAGGGGCTGCCTCTCCCCTGTGCTCTGCTTGGCAGTCTGAGGTGTAGCCCTGGCATGAGGTGGAACCTAGGAATGGGTCAGAAGGAGGAAAAAAAACAGCAGAAAGACTGAACAGCCCTCTTCTTGGTACATGCTGGTTTCTGCCAAAGTCAACAGGCCTTGCGTTACTCAAACAGGCCACAACAGTGATCCCAGGTCACTCCTAGGCACTGGGGACTTGTATTTATTTTTGGTTTTTGTTTTGTGAGACAGGGTCTTACTATTAAGTTCAGGCTGGCCCTGAACTCATTAAGAACTCCAACGATCCTCCTGCCTCAGTCTCCCCAGTGCTCAGGTTAAGGACTGTGCCACCACACCCAGTTTGGTGTTGTAATTAGAGTACAACAAAGCATCAAATACAGGCTTCAAGGAAGTCTAAAGAGTCATTAAACACTCAGGAACCGTGGCACATGCCTGTTCATCCTAGCTACTTAGGAGTCCAAGGCAGTACTACAAGTTAGAGGCCTGCCTGGGCAACTTGGTGAGATCCTGTCACAGAATAAAAAATGAAAAGGACTGGGGACCTAGTTAAGGTACAGCAGCCCCTGGGTCCTATCCCCAGTACAGCCAGAAAGAGAGTGAGAGTGAGAGTGAGAGAGACAGACAGACAGACAGACAGACAGACAGACAAGACAGAGACAGAGACAGAGACAGAGATCGATCACTAAGCAATCCTCAGCCACATTCTATCTAATGATATTTCTCCTCTTACAGCAATTGGCAAGTATAACGTGGGTTAAATACAATTCTGATAGAAATTTATTCTTCAAAGCTTTTAAGTTATAAAAGAAATACATGTTCACTGTAGAACAGTCTAAGGAATGATTAAAATTAATTTGGATTCTTTGGCAGCACAGTATTAACTGCTCACACCTGTTAAGACGGTACTTCTTTCCACCCTTTTCTGTGCAAAATTATACCTTTTTGGTAAAATGAATACTGAACATACTTGTATTTCTTGCCTTTTCTCACTTAACACTGTATTGTTACTATGTCCCTCTAGCATTAATTGAGCTGTGGAAACATGATTACTGATGAATGCATCGCATTTTAACATATACTGCAGTTGTACCAAGTGTGTTCAGTGTCATGGAATAGTACTAGATAAACAACAAAAGGACCATGTCCTTTTTTTTTTTTTTTATTGTATTTCGTACAGGATCTATAGGGTCTCACTACACAGATCGGACTTGTAGTGATCTTTCCTGTTTTCAGCCTCCCAGGTGCTTGGATTACAGGCCAGCACCACCACACCCAGTCTCAGTCACTGGCTCAGCATGCCCTGGGGGCAGGGCTGATGAGGAAGGCCAGGGATTGAATCTCGGCCCACTGCATATGCCTAAACCTGTGCTTTAGTCCGCTGAGCTATCTGGCTGGTCCTCTGTATCAATTTTTAAATGGGTCCTGGTTCTGCTTACGTTTCCAGTTAGTCTTGGGCGAAGGGAATGACCTAGCTTAGGGTCCTGCTGAGTGTGGTCTCAGGCCCTACAGATTCCTACACCCCCTGCAGGTGCCCGAGGCTGCTCACTACCCTCCATTCCCCTCACCGGCTTTAGGTGACTTCTGGTAACCCCAGCACTGCGTCTTTTCCCTTCCCACTCAAATCTCCCCGGGAACGATGGTGACTGCCACGTGCTGGCTCCCTCCTATCAGCTCTCTTCCCACTGCACAGCCAGCCACTCCAAGGGTTAAGCAGTGACTGCTTTGTATCTCGCGGGTTGAGACTATGAATCCAGGAGCTTCCAGAAGTAAAGTCAAGAGCTGAAAGAAACTCCCCAGTTCCTGAAGCAGGGCTTTCTGATTCATTTTATAGCTACCCTGAAATGGTGACTGGATTTTTCTTCATCCTGATGACTGTGCTGTGGTTTACACGAGAGCCTGGCTTTGTCCCTGGCTGGGATTCCTTCTTTGAAAAGTAAGTGAGGTCCTCCTTGAAAAGCAGCTCCTCCACCACACTCCTCAAGCAATAACCACCAGCAGATGCCCCCGTCCACAGCTCTCAGGGCAGACACAAACCAGGAAGCCTTTGCTCCTAAGAAATCTGTTCTGTCTAAAGAAGTAACAGTGGGAAGCCAGGAAGGAAGCACAGTGTTTAGGCTCCCCCCTCAGCGGCTGATATCCAGCGCTGCCGCAGCTCAGCTGTGGGGCTTTGGTCTTCTTATGCGAGCTCCTGGAACCTCAGCTATCTCATGGGATGCTGGGACTTAAAAGGAGAAAATGTGCATAAAGGGCCAACTGCAAAGGGACTTCTGGATCTGAAGCTTTGGAAGGAAGGAACCGCCAGGAGAGATACACCAGCTTCAGGGCCATTCCTGCCCGTGGCCCAAGGGCCCGGACCCCCAGGCGCAGATGCAAGCCCTCTGAGCCTGCTTCTCATCTGCGGAGAGACACACAAGGAGTAGACCTGACAGAAAGGAAGGTTCAGGTTTTTCTGCTATGCCTCACCTGCACAGCTCTCCGTCACTCCTTTGAGGCCTCGTCCCAACACACAGCCCCATGGGCTCCCACTAACATAAGTCCACTCACCAAGGCCAGCACTAAGACACAGGCCAGTGCCCACAAATACACCGCGAGACCCTATGGCAGCAGCTGGGAAGAAGCCAGGTTGCTGTCACCCTAGACCAAATCCTAAAAAGAGGCCCTCTATTCAGACAGACTGCCCCGAGGCCTGGCTCACTTCCGAGGACTCCAGCCCTCCTCCTCCAGCCCTGTTTTGTCTTCTTCCTAGGAAAGGCTACCGTACGGATGCCACAGTCTCCGTCTTCCTCGGCTTCCTCCTTTTCCTCATTCCAGCCAAGAGGCCCTGCTTTGGGAAAAAGAATGATGGTAAGAGAAGGTGCAAGGGAAGAAGCTGGGGATGCCCCAGACAGAATTTTCCAAAGGAGACCCTTCAGCCTTCCCAGAAACAGCAGTGTGGCCTCCCAGATCCCCAAATCACCCACCAGCACCTCCATCTCCACAAACTAGGCGAGGCTAGACTTATCTGGCTCTCCACTGCTCTCCCTCATGATCCAGGGTCGAGCTACGAGTGCTCCCTGGGGACGGAGCCCATCATCACATGGAAGGACTTCCAGAAAACCATGCCCTGGGAGATCGTCATCCTGGTGGGAGGAGGCTACGCCCTGGCTTCAGGCAGCAAGGTAATCTTTCAGTTCTGTTCTCATAGGTTACATACCCTTGGGAGAAAAGGCTCACAGCAGCTGATGGAGAACACATGGTCACCAGGTTACAGCGAAGGACAGTAGATCAGGACAGATGTTATGTCCCTCCCTGACCTTCCCAGTGCTGCTGGGAACAGAGTTCAGGTCAGCTGAGCCCTGGGTCATGGACACAGGCACTCATACCTCCTTTATGGGTGCCACTCCACCCCACTAGCAAAAGGCTCACTGGGTTTTGCAGCCATCTCCTTCTGGAGTCTAACAGCACAGATAAGCAACAGACACTGGCCACAAGGGCCGACATGGTAAACTGTCCTGTTGATCTATTCATGCAGACTGAGCACCTGCATATTTCTGTGTGTGTGTGTGTGTGTGTGTGTGTGTGTGTGTGTGTGTGTGTGTGTGTGTGTGTGTGTGAGAGAGCCTATCCCCAGTACAGAGAGAGAGAGAGAGAGAGAGAGAGAGAGAGAGACAGACAGAGACAGACAGAGACAGAGACAGAGTGTCTCACCATACAGTTCAGGTTGGCCCAGACCATACTTTGTAGCCCAGGCTGGCCTTAAACTCACAGCAATCTTCCTGCCTCAGCCTCCCATTATAGGTGTGTGCCACCATGTCCAGCCCCAGAGTATATTTACTGAAGCCAATGCAAAAATTGCTTGATTTGGGCTGGGGAGATAGCTCAGCAGTCTAAGCATCGGCCCGCCAAGCACAAAGTCCCAAGTTCAATCCCCAGTACTACATGCCATGCCGCCCCAGAACTCAGGCACACCATGCCAGCCCCCAAACCAGGCATGGTGGTGCATGCCTGTAATCCCAGCACTAGGGCGGCTGAGACAAGAGGATTTCTACAAGTCCAAACTGGGCAGCAAGACCCTGTAGCCAAAACAAAACAAAAAATTTCTTGATTTTCTAGTTGAGGACATTCAGGATCAGATTATTTTAGTGACAGGCTGGAGAAAGAGCCTGCAGAGTGCTGAGGGTGACCTTTAACAGTACAACAAGAGGAGCAGGACTTACGGCTGGAAGAATCACAAGTGTGTGTCAGCTTCCATCCAGTCCCTACCTTCATGGCTTCACTGCCTTTGCAGTCTCTAATGGAACTGTTAGAAAAGTCCAAGCACGATGCCACACAAGGGAGAGGAGGAGGGAGAACATATATGGCAACCAGGGGTTTTTAGTTCAAAAACTCAATAGCAGCTGGACATAGGGCGCACACGTGTACTCCTAGCACTCTAGGAGGCTGAGGCAGGAAGATCACAAACCCAACCCCAACATGGGCAACTTAGCAACTTAGGAAGATTTTCTATTGACAAATTACAAAAGGGCTAAGAGTGTAGCTAGTGCAAAGGCCCTGGGTTCAATCCAATCCCCAGTACCAAAACGAAAACCTCAGTCCTTCATTTTTTTTTTTAAGCATTTATTTAATGTGTGTGTGTGTGTGTGTGTGTGTGTGTGTGTGTGTGTGTGTCCAGCTCAGCCCACCAGGGGGCGCGGCTGGCTGGCATGTGGTGCTGGGGGATCGAACTGCGGTCCCTGGGCTTTTCCAAGCTTGTTCCAAATAGGTGCTTTAGACCACTGAGCCATCTCTCCAGCCCCCTCAGTCCTTCATTTTTAAGAGACAAAAGGTAGCCTCGCCATTGGCAAATGAATGCCTTCCAACCCAAAGAATTATTCCAAATGGAAATATGAGTGAATAAATGTTGCTACTAAGAAAGAGTACACCTAGGGGCTTGGGCAATAGATAGTTCAGTGGCATAAGCACCTGCCTGGCAAGTGCAAGGTCCAGAGTTCAATCCCCAGTACCGCAAAAAAAAAAAAAAAAAAAAAGTCAACCTTCCAAAAGCAATGGCAGCCAGCAGATATCAGTCACAAAGGGACTTGAACCTGGAAAAGGTTGGGGCTTGGGCCAGGGAGATGGCTCTGTGGAATAAGCGCTTCCCTAGCAAGCGCAAGGGCCTGAGTTCAATCCCTAGTTCTGCCAAAAAAAAGGTTGGGCTGAAAGACTGCGATAAGCAAGCAAGGCACCTTTGCCAGTAAATAGAGACAGACTTCTAAGCCCTCACCCTTTGTTACACACAAGAAACTAAGACACTAAGGGCAGAGTGGAGGAGCAGAGTCCTAGAAAGAGACACAGCACACAAAAACTACATGAGACAAAATCACAGGAAAGGCATTTCTGGGCCATAAAACTGTTTGAATCTAAGGCAAGGCTGGCCCTGACTCTGGTCAGCCAGCACTTCTGACCCTGGGGAGTCTAAGAATCCACCTGTAATGTGCAGCAATTCCTGACCTCTTACCCAAACACCTCTCCACAGAGCTCTGGTCTCTCCACATGGATCGGGCAGCAGATGCTGTGCCTGAGCAGCCTCCCACCGTGGGCTGTCACTCTGCTGGCATGCATCCTGGTGTCCATTGTCACAGAGTTTGTCAGCAATCCGGCCACCATCACCATCTTCCTGCCCATTGTGTGCAGCCTGGTGAGTAGACTGGGGAAGGAGGACTGGCTCCATCGAGCAGCTTCAATGGCCAAACCCTCCCCCCTGGCTGTTACCCACCACTTCCACCAAGGTGGGGGGGGGGCCTCAAACCACAGTTTGAAGCTTGTCAAGTGACAATTAATACATAAGAAGGCAAATGACTAAATCACAGCAAAAGTGTTAGGAACTCTTCCCCAAAAGAAGAGTATTAGTTCAAGGGCAGTTCTGAATGAAAACAGAAGAGCGGACACAACAACCTTAAAGCCCTAGAGGTCTGCTTCCCCACAGTCACCATCAACTTTTCTCTCCTGAGATGAAACCCTTCAGTAGGCCCAAAAGGATAGCCACAGAAAACGGAGCAAAATGCACAGCTGCAAACACCAAGTGCTCAGGTCTTTAACTGAACCCTGGAAGATGCTGAGCACTGGGAGTAAGTCCAGCCTCACCCCATGCAGCAGGTCAGTTTGTTACCAATGGAACAGGAGAGGGCACCACCTGCCAGATCTTAGCCTGGCGAAGCAGCCCCAAAGGTAAGGCCCAAGCTATATCTGTCCCTGTGCAGAAGGCGGAATCCCCACCCAGTCCCTAGGAATACAGACTCCCTGTGCTCTAACTCCAAGCTCTCTCCAGCCACTCTCTGCCTAGTGCTCTCAATTTCTCCTGTCATCTTGCTGTGTGAGAACTGCAGTGCATTTAGTGAAAATGTGGCAACACTGAGACCAAGACCATGTGCTCAGTCCCAAATAAAGCAGTTTATTTTCCCTGAGAAAAAACCCTCAGTTTAGCACCCGAAGTGTGAGGGATCCTTGCTTCAATCAAAGCCGCTATTCGTGAGAATTTTGTTTGAATAAAGGATTTCTCCAGTAAAGAATAAAGCTAAAATTGAGTATGGTGGTGCATGCTGGTAATCCCAGCACCCTTGAAAACTAAGGCATTAGGGTCACAAATTGGAGCCCAACCTGGACAGTTTAGTGATTTGGCAAAAAAAATTGTTTCAAAACTAAAAATAAAGGGGCCGGGGAGATGGCTCAGTGGAATAAGCACTTCCCTAGCAAGTGCAAGGGTTTGAGTTCAATTCCCGGTTCCGCCAAAAAAAAAAAAAAAAAAACTAAAAATAAAAAGACCTGGAGATATAATTTAGTGTAAAGGCCCTGAGTTCAATCCCAAGTATCACAAAACAAAAACAAGAAAGAAATAAAAGAGAAAAAAAAGAGGGAAAGAGAAAAGGAAAGGAAAGGGAAAAGGAAAAGGAAAAGGAAAAGGGAAAGAAAAATGAATAAACTTTAAGACCACTCCCTTAACCCAGCACCAAAAAAATCAAGCATCTCTTCTAGAATTCTCTAAGCTTCATGGGCAGGGAGTGAACAGCAGGGGCTCATTCAGGTCACCAAGAACACTGCATGTTCCGGAGGACCAGGATCTCACTAGCCCCAGCTCACAGCGTCCAGCTAAGGTTACCCAGCACCACACCACCTTTTAAGTAAAGCATGTTCATGCATAAGAAATGTGAGCCCATGTCAAAGTTAATATTTCTATGACTTCTCTCTTCTCCTAGTCTGAAACGCTGCACATAAACCCACTCTACACCCTGATCCCAGTCACCATGTGCATCTCCTTTGCAGTGATGCTGCCAGTGGGCAACCCCCCCAACGCTATCGTCTTTGGCTATGGGCACTGCCAGATCAAAGACATGGTGAGTAGTGGGCCCCCTCCCTGCAGGCCAGTGCTTCAGAGTAGGGATGAGTGGCCACACAGCTGTCTCACAAAGTTTACTATTTAGTAGCGGTACCCTGGTCTGTCAACACCATTTAGTGTGGGAGAACAAACAGTACCCATCAAAAGGCTCTGCTTGGTCCCTAGCTCCAGAATGGTAGTGATGTGCTCTCCCCACCCTTGCCTGGACAAGAGTGGGAATGGGAGGAGGAAACTGGAGCGGGCACAGCACTGTGTAGAAACGGAGTCCAGTTCCCTTCCATTTCTACACAGTGGGAGAGGAGACATTTACTCTAAAAGCTACTGGTTTATCCACAGATGAGGTGTAAGAAACTGTATGCCACAAGGGGGAAGGTATTTTATGAGAACAGGCTCTTTTGGTTGAGTTTTCCCCTAAGCCCTGAAGCAACACAACGAAATGAGGCCTCTGTAGTGCATCTCACTGCTCTCAGCAGGGCTAAGGAGACATCCTGCCTTTGACCTTAGTACTAGACTTTCCCACCTCCACCTCCCTCAGCCTACACTCTCTGGATGCTCTTACTACCCAGGGCTGATGAGTGCTGGAGAAAAGATAAGCAAACTGATGGGAATTACTGAGGCCTGACTACCTGAGCATATGCCCTTGCTCAAAGTCAATCTGTGCAAACTTTTTTCACACAGTCCAGAGTATTCTCAACAGCCTTACAAAATATCAAATAAAGGAAAGGAGGAGTTTGGGGCTGGTGGCAGACATTCCTGTCCTTTCACCATTCAAATTGCTCATCCAAGTCCTCAGTGATAACTCAGGGATAGGTGACCAGACCACTTCCCTCACTGCATGTAACCATGCAGCAGCTCACACTGGGCTCCACATCCCACTTTTCCTGTGCACCCCACCCCCCACCCTCACCCTCCTCACGCTGGAGTCTAATGAATAAACAGCACTTGTCTCAGGCACTGAATGACAAGAAAACAGTGCGTTCTGGGTCCCAGTTCTGGCTAGGACACTAACTCCAGCTTCAATTTCCTCATCCTGCTAAAAGACATTACACTGAATACTCAGTGGTCCCTATGAGCTCTAAAGCACCTTCATTTAGCTCCTCAGAACCTGCTCTCAGCTGCTGGGAATCAGGGGCCACTGGGCATGCCAAAGGCCCAGGGGACCACGATGATGGAGAAGTTCAGGCTTCCAGTCAGAGGCAGGAGGCGACTTTCAGCCATTTGCCTTGAACAATTTCTCGTTTTTCTTGTCAATTTCCCAGTTTAATGCTAGGTAAGTGGACCAGTCTGGCTACACGCTGCACACTTGGCTACTTCCTAGAAGGACACCAGCAGTCAGGCTGCACCTTTTTTCCTGGCTCGGCTAGTCCATGGTCTCTCATAACAGCCTCCACCTGCGCCAGTGCCATGATCTGTCACTGAGGTGCAGTTCCCCTAGAGGAGAGGCCAGGAAAGCTGGCAGGCCTGTTTCCTTCCTGTAAAACTGGCACAGGCAGCTGACCTTTGACACCCTTCCCCCAAGGTGCCCTAATTCCCTAAGATGTTCCTTGGAGGAGTAAAAAGTACTAGTGGCAAATCCTTCATGTAATATAGCCCTTAAGTTAATTAGCTTTTCATCACTGTGACCAATACCTGAGAAAAACTACTTAAAAGAAGATAGGTCTTAAGGACCTGGATGCTTCAGACCATTCTCAGTGGTTCCATTGCTGCAGGTCTGAGTGAGCTAGAAAAGCGTGAAGCAAAGCTCCTCTTACCCTTTGGCGGCCAGGAAGTAGAGAGGGAAAGAACCTGAGAAGAAACTTGGGACCAGAAGAACCCTTAAGGTCACCAGCCTGTGATCCCCTCCCTTCAGTTAGGCCCCACTTCCTATTTCTATCAAACTGTGACCTCACTGATAAGCTAATCCACGATGAAGGCTGAGCCCACAGGGCCCAGGAATTTCCCCCTACAACTTGTCAGCTCACAACCAAGACTTCGGCACGAAATGGGAGAGAGGTGAAGGCACTTCAACTCCAAACTGTTAATACCCCTCCTAATAGTTCCTTCTGTGTGAGCACAGAAAAGCCCTGAGGAGTCCAGTTTTAGAGAGAGTCCACCTGACAAGGCAACGCAAGCAGCCCACATAGTGACTACAACAGTTAGGGCCCCATGTGTGGAGCAAGGCTGAGGCTGGGGGCCTAGGCATGGCTCTCTTGGGGATGTGTCCTGCCACCTAGTCATGGCTGTTCGCTTGTGTCTGCAGGTGAAAGCTGGCCTGGGAGTCAACGTCATTGGCCTGGTGGTAGTAATGGTGGCCATCAACACCTGGGGAGTTAGTCTCTTCCACCTGGACACCTTTCCAGCCTGGGCTAAGGTCAGTAACATCACTGATCAGGCCTAAAATCAGTGGACTAATTGGTCAGGCCAAAGGAACTGTACTCGGCCAAATCTGCACCACAGAGAAAACCACCAGCACACTAGGTCCAGGCTGGAGGGCACTCTTGCCAGAAGATCTGTCATCTACCCCCTTGGCGAAGAGCAGGGGTCCTCTAGCCCCCATACCATGTGCTTGGCTTTTAGGGTCTCCTCCCCTGCCCACTTGGCCTTAGCACCATCAGTCAAGAAAGCCCAAAAATGTTCTCTTCTGTGTCTAATCCTCCCGATGGACTCTGAAGCCAGAGAAAGAAAACCTGTCTTACTTGCCCCTTAGAGGCAAAGCTTCACATGCTGCACAACCTCCCTAGGGTTTTTGGAAGATGTTCTCAGGAGTTGAAGGAGATACCCAAACCATTCTAGCTTTGCAGTGAAACCAGTGAGATCTCCATTGGGAAGACACCTGACCAGGAACTTGAGCCATCGCAATTGTTTCTAAGGTTTTCCCACAAAAAAGCAATTTTTAGTGGGTCTTTGTCATACTCCTTTTATCACTATTTTGAATCCTTCTGAGACAGCTCTCTTCATTGGCTCCCCTTTATGTTGGCACCAAATTCCTGCAAAGAAAGCGTTCCCCCTGAGAAAGGTGGTATTATTTTCTTTATCAAAGGAAAAAGTAGAGAAAAGACACTGTGATTAGCATCTCTTTCTTCCTATACTAACCAGAAATACCACTGCTTAGCCAAGTGTGGGAAGGAGGGAGAACTTTATACTTGTCTTACTGGGAAGACTAAAACTGCAATTAAGACCGCAGCACTATTACTGCTATTACACTGGCGTACTTCTGGTTTCAATGGGTACTTCCTAGCCTAAGAAGACAAAGGTAGTACTCAGAGGTCCAACTCGTCAGTCACTTCCCACAAGTGAATCCTTAAGAAGAGGAAGGTACCTGTACATCCTGAGTCTGCCTGGGAAACACTTACCATCTCACAAGGCAGGGCTGAGCACTTGGCTCAGTGGCAGAGTACTTGCCTAGCATGTGCAAGGCCATCAATTCAATCCTCAGATCTACAAGAAGAAAACAATGTACAACGCTGTTAAAATGTTAGCTGCTCAATAAATGTCCCTGATGAGAGAATCACTGCCAAGCAAGGCCTCTTCCTTTCTCAAGAAGACCACACCATTTTCATTGCTGAAGATAGCTCATTCTTTCTGCAGTTTGCTGCCATTAAGTATTTGTGATTGCAAAAATTAACTGTTTGCTGAATGTCTTAGGGAAAAGGAGTGCCCCATAACTACTATACTATACATGACTACTAAAAGCACATGCAGTTTCCCTACAATAATTTATCTATAAAATCACACCATTAGCTGGTTAAGTGAAAATAAGTTGCACCTTCTTTTAAGCCAGTCAACACAGGCACACTCTACCTTCAGAGTTGACTGAACAGGTTTAACCAGGAGTGTTAATTGCTTCTGCCCTGTTGATTGGCTGAGCCAACACTTGGCCAACACAGTAGTGACAAGCTTGTGAACCCAAAAGAAATACATGTGAGGTAAGCTATGTTTGATCAAGCCAGTCTCCCTACAGTCAGTTCACTTCAACATGGTTAAGTCAAGGTGTCACTGCTGTTGAGAGGTCAACCACATCATCCCATTTCTGAATCATTACTGAACTCAGACTCTAAGCCGCTAAGCCAGATGACAAAACAAAGGCACAGAAAATACCTAAGATTCTGCGAACACAGTAAAAAAATAGAGAAAGAAAAGTTGACAGAGAATTAAAGGCACTTGGAATTACTGGCCACTGCTCAGCTATCTGAGCCTGAGTCACTCCTGAAGGGAAGCAGGGCCAGCTCTGTCTTGCAATGCTGCCAGGGGTCCTCGGCTGGTGTTTCACTGCTGTCTGGCTCATGGGCTGCTCTCAGAACCACCAGTGTTCCTTCCTAAGGCCAGAGGCTTGGGAGAAACAAACTTCCCATGCCAGTCACGGAGGGTGGCAGTCCCACCAGCAGGCTAGAGAGCCCTCGTTAGTAGTCTCTCAGTGTCACCTCACTGTATGGGTGGAAGAGCTCTAAATGCTTATCCAACACCAACTCACTTTCCAAATGACAGAAGTGAGAGCCAAAGACACTGAATAGAGCCAGTCACACTTTATCAAGTCAATTAGGAATCAAATGTGCTTAGTCAAAGCTGCCTTTGAAATTCCACCATATCTCACAAAGAACATGGCATCCAATCTTTTGCACTGGTATTTATATATCACAAACCTTCATACACTGTCATCTTTCAATTTTTAAAATCACTACCTTTCCACTGTCAGAATAGATCCATTTCTTTAGCTGGTCATCAAGTAAAGTCTAGCTGGGCCTTGTGAATCAACAGATTCTGCATCATTGGATTCAACCAACTTCAAATCAAAATATTAAAAAAGAACTCAATCTATACTTGAAGTTTTTGTCACACAGCATTCATACAGTACTGGATGACGTAATCTAAAGGGTACAGGAGGATGTACACATGTCAGATATGGACACTGTGCCACCACATGTAAGAGACAAGAGCATCTGCAGTTTGTGGCATCTACGAGAGTGCAGGTAGAGAACTGGAACCTACTCCCTGTACAAATGAGGGACCAAAGTCGTTGGCTATGGAAATTGGGACTATGGAAATAGTCCCTGCAAACAAAGGACCTCTCAGTACTGCAAGATACTTGGAACAACAGACCACAAAGGCACATGAGTAGCCTGAGAACACACATGGCTAGTGCTGTGGCTACCACTGGTTAAGGACTGGGGGCTTAAGTTCCTGTGCTGTGCACACGGTCCCTCTGTCCAAGGCCGTGCAGCTGTGCACACTTATGATGCAACTGCACAACCTTCATGCACTGCTACCACCAAAGCAGTGGTTATGGCATACTTGGGACTCATGTTTTATAACACCCTTACCCTGGGCACCTTGCAAAAAATTTCAATCAACTCTTTCTTCTTTTCCAGTGTTGCAAAATATGTCATTGGTTAGGTCTTTGGCTCTTGATTGAATATGTTCCAACTAGACTTAGTAAAGTTATAAGGTGAACACCTGAAATTGTGTCACAAACCCCCTACTAAGACTAGGCAAGATTAACTTGGATCTGTATCTTTGACCATATACTAAATTCGAAATGGATCAAAGATATAAATATTAAAAAAGAAACATTAAATCTGCTGGTAAAAGCCTTGAAGGCACTGGTGCAAGGAAAGACTTTGTGAATAAAACCCCAATTGTGTAGGAACTATCATAAAGAATCAACAACTGGGTCTCATCTATTAAAAGGCTTTTGAACAACAGAATAAAGAGATAACCCACAATGTGGGAAAAAACGTTAGCCAGCTCCTTCCTCAGACAAAGGATTACTATGGAGAACACATAAAGAACTCAAAAGTATCAGACTTCCCAAACTTAAAGACCTAATCCAAAAACGGGCATCTGAGATGATATACACTTCTCAAATAAACTTAGCTTTATTAAGTTTGCAGCATTACAAACAGCAAATATATGAAAAAATGTTCAACATTACTGGTCATTCAAGAGATACAAATGAAACAACACTAAGATTCCATCTCACCCTCCAGAAAGAATGGTTACTATCAAGAATCAATCAATAAACCAGGGAGATAGCTCAGTAGAATAAGCCTTTGCCTGGCAAGCACAGGGTCCTGAGTTCAATATCCGGTACTGAAAAAAAAAAAAAACGACGACTGGGTGTGGTTGCACACTCCTGTAATCCCAGTGCTTGGAAGACTGAAAACAGGAGGATAACTATGAGTCTGATCTGTA